TGCCGGCCTCCAGAACCACGACAGACACATCTCTGTGGTTTTAAGCCACCTGCCTCCTGGCTCTTTGTTGTGACAGCCTTAGGAAAGCGCTCTGAGCGCTGTGGCCTCACTGTGGGCCCCAGAGCCCTCTGAGGCATCATCCTTTCTGCCTGGCTTCCCTGGGGGCTCAGACAGTAAAGAATCTGCGTGCAACATGGGAGACCCAGCTTTGATTTCTGGGCCAGGACGATCCCCTGGAGAAGGAACAGGCAACCCACTCCAGTATTCTTGCCTGGGAAATCCCACGCACCGAGAATCCTGGCGGGATACAGTCCACGGGGTCACAAAGAATCAGACGTGACTGAGTGGCTAACACATGTGTCACGGCATCATATACTTCTTGGAAATCGGACAAGTGCCAGGTCCCATGGCTACATCTCCCACCCGTGAGAACACCCCACAGGACACGCAAGAGCCCTAAAGACCCTGAGCCCCCAGCCCAGGCCCCTCACCTGCGTGATAAAGAGCGCCTCCAGGCTGCCCTGGTACTCCGCCAGCAGCAGAGGGATGTAGTCATACACCTGGTCCCGCAGGGCATCGTTGGGCAGGAGGAGGTTCAGCATGGGCTTCAGGGACTTGATGACCCCCAGCTTCACCTAGCACAGGAGCCTGGTCTCTAGACCCCTCGGCCAGGACCACGAGGAAGGTCCTGTGACATCAGCCCCAGCCTCGGAATCAAGGACAGGTGACTGAGGGGACCTTGGAGTAGGGTTCAGGCCTCCCCCGGGCCCCTCAGCTGCCAAATCTGTCCCCCAAGTCCTGACTCTCACTCAGGACACCTTGGACAGGTGCTCAACCTCTCTGTGTCTCTGTTTCCTCATTTGTAAAACGGTCCTATGACCCGGAGGTGGCGTGGAAATGGCTTCCACAAGTGCACCGCTCGGAGAGTGCCCGGCACATATGGGACAGGGACCCTGGTCCAGCAACTCCAGGGGCCTTTATCAAGACACCTGCAGGGCCCCCCGGCTCTGCCGATCAGGTCTCCACCTCCTTGGACCCAGTGGTGTCTCAGCCCCGCCGGCTGCACAGGCTGGAGAGCGATGACCCGAGGACCACAGGCTCCCACCCCGACCTGGGAGGGCCCGCTCACCTCTGGGTTGTTGTTCCGCAGCCACACCGTCACGAAGTAGCGATACATGGGGAACAGCTTCAGTGCAAACTGGTCCTCAGTCATCACGGGGTACACGCTGTCCTCCAGGTGCCTCAGGTAAAACTGCACCGTCTCGCAGAAGGTCTCCATGGCTGCCCCGGGGCACGTGCAGTGAGCCTCGAGGGCCAGGACACAGAACAGAGCCTTCCGGGGTGCCTTCTCAGGAGAAGCCCTCACACTTCCATAACCAGCAGGTTACTGAGATGGCCAGAGATGCTGCTAGAGAAATCTCCTGCCGCCCTCGCCATCTGCCTTTCCAACCCCCCTCTCAGCTCCTTCAGTTTGGTCCTGCATGAAGCCCCTCCCTGTCTGAGGGTGAAAGACTCCCCAAGGGGTGGAGCACACAGGTGTGACTGGGCCCCCAGCCTTGAGGTTCATGTTGCAAGGTCAAGGGTGAGACCTCGAAGAAGACTTTCTAACTCAGATCCTGGGGACTCCAAAGCAAAGAGTGGCCAACACGTTCTGTCCTACTTTTCTCATGTACTGGGGACCTGGGCCCACAAAATCATGACATAATCAAAACCTGGGGCAAGGGGATCAGATAGAAATGACCCAAGTCAAGCCCGAGCTGGGACCATCTCCCTGGTCGCCCTCTCCTGCGATCCCCACTGCCCCTTTTGTCTCTACCTGTTCACCCAGCTCCTCCTGTCAGCACCCTGATCAGGCCAGACCTGCAGGCCCAGGCGGTACACTTACCACCACAGATCACCTGGCGCATCTTGGCTTCATTGGCGAGCCTCAGCATGGTGAACATGGTGGCCAGGGTGATGCCCATGTATGGCATGAACTCAAACACTGCGAGGTGTGGGCAGAGGTCTCAGGGCGTCGGAGGAGCAGGGTCATCAGAGATGGCAAAACCAACGCCCACACCTCCAGTGCCCAGAACAGGGCCAGGGCACCCCTTTGCATGGGCTGGGCCACAGGAGACAGTAGGAGGCAGGGGAGGTAAGAAGTGTGAGTTGGGAGCAGGTGAAGGGGAGGGGAGATGGGGGGGTGACTCGGGGGTGCAGGGGAGAGGAGATGGGGGAGGGGAGGAGGGGNAAGGAGATGAGGGAACAGGAGAGGAGGGAAGGGGAGATGAGGGAAGGGGAGATGGGGGGGAAGTGGAGGGGTGGGGAGACCGGTCTCCCACCATTCCCCCATCTCCCCTCCACCATCTCCCCTCCCCTTCCCCTTGTCTCCCCTCCCCTCCCCTCCCCTCCCATCTCCCCTCTCCTCTCCCCTCCCTTGTCCCCTCCCCATGTCTCCCCACCTCTCCCCTGTCTCCCATCCCCTCTGCGGAGAGTGAAAAGGAGACCTGGGAAGAGGGGAGGGGAGATGGGGAGGGGAGAGGAGACAGGGGGAGGGCAGACAGGGGAGGGGAGGGGAGACGGGTGGGGGAAGAGGGAGGGGAGATGGGGATAGGGGAGGAAGACCTGGGGGGTGAGAGGGGAGATGGGGGAGGGTATTGACATGGGTGGGAGGGGAGAGGAGACCTCACCGCCCCCTGTCTCCAACTCTCTCCCCATCTCCCATCCTGGCTCCCTGTGTCCCCACCCTGTCCCCCCCTCCTGTTTCCCCTCCCCCCATCTCCCCTCTTCTCTCCACATTGATCCTGCGCCCCCCCCCCCAGAGGGAAAGGGAGACAGGGAGAGAGGAGAGGGGACTGGAGAGGGGGGTGGGGGAGAGAGGGGAGGGAGAGGGGAGAGGGAAGGGGAGGGGAGACGGGAGAGAGGAAAGGAGATGGGGGAGGGGAGTGGAGACCTCCCCCAGTCTCCATCCCTCTCCCGCATCTCTACCCTTCCCCTCCTCCGTCTCCCCTCCTCTCCCCTTCCCTTCCATCCCCCACCCCTCCCCTCTCCCCCTCTCTCCTTTCCTCATTTCTATTTCCTCTCCTCTCCCCTCTGTCTCCCAGGACAGAGAAGGAGATGAGGGGAGGGGAAACGAGGGAAGGGGAGATGGGATGACAGGAGAGGAGACAGGGGAGGGGAGGGGAGACGGGNCTTGTTGCCTCATAAGCACTCTAGCCTGACGACCAGAGACCGTGGGTGAGGCGGCGGGGATGCAGGGGACAGCCGCGCGCCCTCTCCATGGGGACACTCCGTTTTCTCGTGTACCAGTTGCCAGGGGCTCCTGACCCGCGGCCCACTGCCCGCCGCAAGGCCTGCGTGGAGCGCGGAGCGTGGAGCGGACTCAGAAGGGAAGGAGGGAGGGAGCGAGGGAGAGACCGGGGCCAGAGAGGGAGCAGGAAAGACAGGCGTGCGAGAGAAGGGCCGGCAGGAGAAAAGACGCAGGATGGGGGGCACAGGGAGGGTATCTCAGCAGCCGAGAGGGCCGGAGAGACACCGGAAGTGAGACGGAGGAAGGCCGGAGGAAGAACGGAAGAGGGAGACACGTGAGGGGGTGGGCGCGGGCACCAGGGCAGAGGCGGAGGGGTGGCCCGGCGGGCAGACGCTGGGGCCCAGTCCCCTCGAGCCCTACCATTGCCGTTGGCCAGCTTGGCCAGGGTGACGATGACAGATTCTTCCGTGAGGTTGAGGGGTTTGAGATGGTGCTGCAGCTCGTACATGACCAAGCTGAAGTGGTTTCGGGACAGGGCCACCAGGGTGTCGCTGGCCACCTCTGCCCTCACATAGCCCTCCATCTGCAGGGCGCGGGAGGAGGACACGTGGCCGCGCCAGCAGTTCCTGATCCTCGCCTGCTCCGGCTCCGCTGGGCTCTCCTGGGCCCCCTCAGCCTACTGTTGTCCTCGGGAGCTCACCGGACAGAGGCCTCGGGCATCCCACCGGCCCCCCAGAGCCCAGCCCCTGGGGCGGTGGCAGGCGGACAGGGCAGGACCCCCGCTACCTCCAGCATGCCCCTCATCTCCCTGGAGGCGATGGCCACCAGCCTCTGGATGCAGCGCTCCTCCAGTTCGCCCTCCTGCTGGGTGACCTCCTGGAGGATGTTGTAGATGTTGACTTTGCGCTGAGTGGAAATCTGGGGAACAAGTANGAGGATGTTGTAGATGTTGACTTTGCGCTGAGTGGAAATCTGGGGAACAAGTATGGTGGGTGGGGAGGTCCGGGACAGGCAGTGGGGCCTGGGAGCCCACAGATCCACCGCAGTCCCCCTCCTGCTGGCCCTCCCCCTAATCCCTAGGAGATTGTGATTTGTAATAAGACCTGTGTTTGGTCTTCATCCAACTGCACAAGCCTGAAATCCTTGGAATGTCCTAAGTAAAGAGAGTGACAAAGATGTCTTTTGTTGTTGTATTAATGAGACGATTTTTGGTCCACACCTAAGGATGGGGAGGGCTTCCCCGGTGGCTCAACAGGTAAAGAATCTGCCTGCCGTGTGTGTGTGGGAGACCTGGGCTCGATCCCTGGGCTGGGGGAAGATGCCCTGGAGAAGCGAATGGCTACCCACTCCAGTATTCTGGCCTGGAGAATTCCGTGGACTGTGTAGTCCACGGGGTTGCAAAGAGGCAGACAAGACTGAGCGACTCTCCCTTTCACTTGAAGGATAGGGAATGTTTGGCAGGAGAACCCATGTTCTGATGAGAGGACTGGAACTTTCAGTCCCACCCACTCGACTCCAAGGAGGAGAGTGGGGCTGGAAGTTGAATCAATCGCCAATGGCTAGTGATTTAATCAACTATGCCTAGATAATGAAGCCCCCATAAAAATCCAAAGGACAGGGTTCAGAGAGCTTCAGGCTGCTGAACACATGGAGATTTAGAGGGAATGGGAGGACCAGAGAGGGCATGGAAACTTCACACCCTTTCCCATACTCTTACCCTATGCATCACTTCCATCTGGCTGGTCCTGAGTTAGAATGAACTGGCCATCTAGTAAGTAAAAGGTTTCTCTGGATTTTGTGAGCCCCTCTAGCAAATTGATGAAACTCGAGGAGAGGGTCATGGGAACCTCCGGTCTATAGCCAATTGGCCACACTTCCCACTGGCGTCTGAAGCAAGGGCCAGGCTGGGGTCGTCTTACCGGTGCACGTGTGTCTGCTGGGTCACTTCAGTCGTGTCTGACATTTTGTGACACTATAGACTATATAGCCTGCCAGGCTCCTCTGTCCATGGCATTCTCCAGGCAAGAATACTGGGGTGGGTTATCGTGCCCTCCTCCAGGGGATCTTCCCAACCCAGGGGTCGAACCCGTGTGTCTTATGTCTCCTGCATTGGCAGGCAGGTTCTTTCCCACTAGTGGCACCTTAATGCGACTGAGCCCTTAACCCATGGAATCTGACACTATCTCCAGGCAGACAGTGTCAGAATTGAGTTCAATTGTAGGACCCTCCCCCCACCCCGCCCGCAGCTGGTGTCAAAGGATTGCGTGACAGGGGAATCCATACATTGAAATTGGATGCCTTATGATTAACACTCCAGCTGGTTGATGAACACACCATCCTCAAACCGCCCCAGCTCTGCCCGCAGCTCCAGCCTGTCTCGCACCCTCCTCCCCTCTCCCATCAGAGTCATCCAACCGGCCCTGCCCCCGTGGCCTGCATCTGTCCTCGCTACTCAGCAAGGCGGAGGTCAGATGGTCAGCATACAGGGTCCTCCACAGACTTGGCGCTGACCCTCTTGCAAAGTTTAAGACAACATGCTCTATTTTGCTTCCTGCATAGCTCTGGTCACCATTTTAAGTGACCTGAATGAGGATAGGAGAAGAGTCGCTCAGTCGTGTCCGACTCTTTGCGACCCCATGGACAGTAGCCTGCACCAGGCTCCTCCTTCCATGGGATTTTCTAGACAAGAGTACTGGAGTGGGTTGCCATTTCCTTCTCCATGAATGAGGATAGGATTGGACAAATAGGTTTTGAAATCTGACCACTCCTGGAGAGTCAGATTTGACAATGACACTCATTCAACCAGGGATGATACACCCCCAAGAAAGAAAGAAGGTGGACTCCTCTCTCCACGGAGCCTCACCTGCAAAGCCCTCTGGGAAGATGGCTCCCTCCCTCAGCTGGTAAAGAGGTCACTTCTCAACAGTCAGGGCTGTAGCAAATGTGGGGACCTCATGAAGAGAGGAAGTCAGCGAAATGTATACTTTTATCCAGTACAGAGTCTTGGTACAGGAAGTAATGCTGATTTTCAGTTGCTCAGTCGTCTCCCATTCTTTTGTGACCCCATGGACTTTAGCCTGCCAGGCTCCTCTCTCCAGGGAATTTTGCGGGCAAGAGTACTGGAGTGGGTTGCTGTTTCCTTCTCCAGAGGCGCTTCCTGACCCAGGAATGAAACCGGGATCTCCCGTGTTGCAGGCAGAGACTTTACCATCTGAGCCACCAGGGAAGGTCGGAGGAGAAGGGGACGACAGAGGATGAGACGGTTGGATGGCATCACCGACTCGATGGAGATGAGTTTGGGTAAACTCTAGGAGTTGGTGATGGACAGGGAGGCCTGGTGTGCTGCAGTCCATGGGGTCACAAAGAGTGAACTGAACTGAACTCAATAGAGGCTTATAGCTCAGCTGGTAAAGAATCCACCTGCAATGTAGGTAGACCCGGTTCAATTCCTAGGTGGGGAAGATCCCCTGGAGAAGGGAATGGCTACCCACCCCAGCACTCTGGCCTGGAGAATTCCATGGACAGAGAAGCCTAGCAGGCTACTGTTCATTGGGTCACAAAGAGTTGAAGATAACAACCGAGCAACTTTCACTTTCACTTTTCAGAGGCGTGTAACTCAGGTGAGAGACTCCTCATGAAAACCCCTGGAGAGAAGAGAACCCTGTGATCTTCGCTGCTCACTGTTGATGGTCCTAGCTTTCTCAACCTCTTTTTTTTTTTTTTTTTATTGTCCCCTAGGGAACCTCCGTAAGCATTTTTCCCCTAATCACTCCCCACCATGAAAATATAATAACACAAATATATTATATATCTGATTGTCCATTTCTGTGCTTTGTACATCAAAAACTAAAATTTCCTTCACGCACACACATCCCCACCCCACTGTGCAAGAACCAATTTTACCTGTTGTGGAGTCTCACCCTGTTGAAAATTCATGCTATTGGTTTTCAAAGCAAACTCAAGGAAGCCTCAATGTTCAGCTAACACTGTGGCTGCAGATATGTAAACAGCCAGGCAACTTATAAGCCCAGTCTTTTCTGTGGTCAAAATTAGTCTTGGGAGAATATTTATGGTCATAAGAGAAAAATTGTCCAAGACTTTGAAAGTGTCATAAAACAAGCACTGAGTGGCCTCCCAGAGGCAGGCTTTGTGATCTCCGACGGCCTCAGAAGGATGATCCGGACTATGGGTGTGTGTGTCTTTGATTGACTGTGATGGTCTAGTCTATGTGTCCATGGAGATAGAGTCTTAGTATTGGGAAGCTGATCATGAAAATGATTCCTGTCTGTGACAAGGCAAAGGAATTTTGACTGGTAAAAAATATAAATCTCTAGAAGTAAAACTCTCATTTTAACAGATTTTAACATCGTCGTAGCTTCCCCAGGTGGCGCTAGTGGTAAAGAATCCAGCAGCCAATGCATGAGACACAGGAGACGCGAGTTTAATCCCTGGGTCAGGAAGATCCCCTAAAAGAGGACATGGCAACCCACTCTGGTACTCTTGCTGGAGAATTCCGTGGCCAGAGGAGCCTCATAGGCTCCAGTCCATGGGGTTGCCAAGTATTGGACAAGACTGAAGTAAATGAGCACACATGTAACGTCTTGCTGGTTCCTTCACTAATTAATGAATAACTGAAAATGTCGACACAGATTAAATCTGACAGTGTGCCTACTTGTTTATCCCTTGTTTATTGCCACTGATCAGTTATCGTGGCCTGGGTATTAATCACGGTTTTTGTAACTTTCTACATTTCCCGATGCTTTGATTTCTTGGAGTCTTGTGGACCCGAAAGACTGCTGGGGGTTAGTCAGTTCCTGGAGACAGCAAAGAGCTCCCCCACCAGCAAGCTTGTTAAAGCAGTCCAGAGCCCATGCCCAAGCACCTCCTCCATCAGGCTATGACGCTCTGGGCCTCTATGCTGCCGCTGTTTAGCCGTGCAGTCGTGTATGACTGTGCAGTCCCATGGACTGTAGTCTACCAGGCTCCTCTGTCCATGGGATTCTCCAGGCAGAAATACCAGAGTATGTGGCCCTTTCGGAGAAGGCAATGGCAACCCACACCAGTTCTCTTGCCTGGAAAATCCCATGGGTGGAGGAGCCTGGTAGGCTGCAGTCCTTGGGGTTGCTAAGAGTTGGACACGACTGAGCGACTTCACTTTCACTTTTCACTTGCATGCATTGGAGAAGGAAATGGCAACCCACTCCAGTGTTCTTTAGACTGAAGTAAATGAGCACACATGTAACATCTTGCTGGTTCCTTCACTAATTAATGAATAACTGAAAATGTCGACACAGATTAAATCTGACAGTGTGCCTACTTGTTTATCCCCTGTTTATTGCCACTGATCAGTTATCATGGCCTGGGTACTAATCACGGTTTTTGTAACTTTCTAAATTTCCTGATGCTTTGATTTCTTGGAGTCTTGTGGACCCGAAAGACTGCTGGGGGTTAGTCAGTTCCTGGAGACAGCAAACAGCTCCCCCACCAGCAAGCTTGTTAAACCAGTCCAGAGCCCATGCCCAAGCAGCTCCTTCATCAGGCTCTCACGTTCTGGGGCTCTATGCTGCCGCTGTTTAGCCGTGCCATCGGTGCAGTCATGTATGACTCTGCAATCCCATGGACTGTAGTCTACCACGCTCCTCTGTCCATGGGATTCTCCAGGCAGAAATACCAGAGTATGTGGCCCTTTTGGAGAAGGCAATGGCAACCCACACCAGTTCTCTTGCCTGGAAAATCCTATGTATGGAGGAACCTGGTAGGCTGCATTCAATGGGGTTGCTAAGAGTCAGACAATACTGAGCGACTTCACTTTCACTTTTCACTTGCATGCATTGGAGAAGGAAATGGCAACCCACACCAGTTCTCTTGCCTGGAGAATCCCAGGGAAGGGGGAG